GACTTCATTACTGTTTGTACACATAATGTCACTCTAGGTGTGTAATAAGACTTCACTATTGTTTGTACACATAATGTCACTTGAGATGTGTAATAAGACTTCACTATTGTTTGTATACATAATGTCACTTGAGGTATGTAATAAGAATTCACTACTGTTTGTATACATAATATCACTTCAGGTGTGTAATAAGATTTTACTACTGTTTGTACACATAATGTCACTCGAGGTGTGTAATAAGACTTTACTACTGTTTGTACACATAATGTCACTTCAGGTGTGTAATAAGACTTTACTACTGTTTGTACACATAATGTCACTCGAGGTGTGTAATAAGATTTCACTACTGTTTGTACAAATAATGTCACTTCATGTATGTAATAAGACTTCACTACTGTTTGTATACATAATGTCACTTGAGATGTGTAATATGACTTCACTATTATTTGTACTCATAAGAGTCACGGTTAATTTGTGTGATTCCTGGGATACGTTTTCGTCCATATTTGTTCACTATACGAATGCTGAGGTTTGTTGTGATAAATTTCCAAGTCTATTTACCCTGGAACTATAGCAAACAGAAAACTGTTATTATATCCTGGTGTTATATAAACAAAACTTCAATTACCGAAAAGAGAAAGTTTTAAGCGTACTCAACCATAGTGCCGCCTTCGAAAACACGCAAATGAGACGAATCTCGAACATGCATACATACGTATACGGTACTGGTATAAACACACAAGCTTGTGCTGGTTCTGACGACAAGGTTTCTTCTATTGATACAATACTATGATTTGCATCTCCCCTGAGATTATATAGGGCATACACAGAGAAAGAGAGGGGCAAGGGGAAGAGGTGTGGGGGTGTTTGCGTGAAGATATACCACACCGTGTCCTATTAGCGTGTTTTGATTTTGTTTGGGAAAGTAGATTGTTTCTGCCCCCTTAGATTAGTTCCTCTCAATTAGTAGAGCTTAAACTTACCAGAAAGGGAATACATCATTAAGGCATACATTAAATCAAGTGGAGAATATAGACTTAAAAGGATGACACATAGTTACTACGAATTAGAGAGAGATGTGTAACATCTATTGGAAATCTTCTTAAAATATTGTGTAGGTGTAGGTTAAATCTACGCGTTCTATTTGCGAAAAACAACTTCAATAACAAATTTAAGAAACTGTGCTTAATGCTATCAATTTTTGACTTATCTTTTCTTGACACTTTACATTTGTTTTATGAATATTCCTAACATTATATCATCTTAATCTCTTTGAGTTACTATAACCTTTATTCAGAAAGTTTTTGAAAATTTGGAACATAAACTGTTTGAAATCAACTTTTCACAGTGTCTTTAGTATCTTGTTTTTGAACGCGTGAGCATTCAGTTATTGCTATTTTTAACATTAACAGTTATAAGGGGTTAGTGTTGGTATGTTTATATTGTTTCAAGGATGTTGCCGTAGTTTCATTAAACAAGTGTTAAAATGTTGCTTCATTAATATCGAAATACTGCCATGTTAACGTTATCGTGTTGTAATGTTAAAATACTGACATAGTAATTAGTGTGTTCGAATGTTATGTTAATGTTATTGAATTATTCAAATTTAAAAATTGATTTCTGGTCTGTGCGTGATAATAGCTATTTCAAAGAAATATTTGAAATAACCACCAAATAAGAGTTACATAAAAAACATAAAAACGTATCATAATATACGAGATTTGTGTATATAAGTTCATTATAGATCTAAAAGCACAGGAATCCCACATTTTTTTAAGTGTGTCTGTCCTTAAAAACAATACATCTGGACTCAGTAGTTCGTTTGTCAGTTTCACCTGTATTTGTTTGATTGTTTGAAGTTAAGCACAATGGGCTATCTGTGCTCTGCCCACCACGGGTATCGAAACTCGGTTTCTAGTATTGTAAGTCTGCAGATATTTTCACCTGTAATGTCTATTCATGCTTTAGGTAATAAATATGACTACATTCTTGTCGAATACGCTAATGTTACTACAGCAGTTGCTTTGTTACTCTCGCTCTGCAAGGGTATTGCAATCGGGTCCGTGTGTGTGTCTGTGTTTCCGCGACCGAATCTCAAAAACTAATAAGCCGATGTACACGGACTTTTCACACAAGATGGGAAGTCAGTATGGAACAGCCTTCCCCAAATTTGGTCTGGATCCAAATATATATCCGGATTCTGGATCACTTTGAAACATTTTTTATAAAGGCTAAATTTTTGCGGTTTTCTGTTAATAACTCTGTAAAGTGTGATCGGAGTTGTACCAAAGTTCTCGGGCACATTAAGGTTGAGACTTCTCATCACACTACAAATATTATCCGGATCGTTGAACATTCTGGATCTGAGAAGGATTTTCTGAGTTTTCGAAGGTGAAATTTTATGTTATCCAATATAAATGCATACAATTGCGAAAAGGAGTGTCGATTGCTCTTGTTAATGTTGAAATACTGCTATAGTAACATTAGCGTGCTAGACTGTTACTTAAATAATATGGAAATATCGTTACAGTAAAATTATTGTGTTAGAATACTGTAAGTATCCCCCCAGTGGCACAGGGGTATTATCTGCGGATTTACAACGCTAGAATCTGGGTTTCGATACCCGTGGTGGACAGAGCACAGATAGTCCATTGTGTAGCTTTGTGCTTAAGTACAAACAAACAAGCTGTAAGTATATTACTTGATCTAAATACTGCTTCAGCGTTTCGTGGTTACAAGAATATTTTGAATTTATTGTATGGTTAATTTACAGTAGTTCTCTAATACTGTTAGTGTAATTAAACTGACAATTATAATTTTTGCATTAACTTATCTTTTCCAGGAAACTCACATTGCAATAATATTCTAAAATTAAGTGATTATGGTTATTCGTTTGGAAAAGCAAAATATGTTGGCTTCAAAAGTTGAAAACTTTCGCACATTCAAACTTTGTTTAGATTTTTTTCAGAAAATGAATTGTCACACCATTCTAACACAGCACTATTTACACTCCGTATATAGTTTTTACATATTGTGAAGCTGTAATTTTCAATTCTCACTAGAGAATGATATTTTATGAATCGTTAATATTTTGTAATGTAACAGGCACATTTCTTCTTATTTCAATCTAAAAAACTAAAACCTAAATTTTTACTTGATAGAATATCATCCAAGGATGGATATATGTATATATGTGTGTGTGTGTGTAGAATCATGACCTGTAGTACATCTGTGTCCTGTTCAAATTCCTTATAGGCTATCGTCTATGAGGGACAGGATAAAAACCCTGAAATGTGCCGAGTTCTGCTCACACACGAAGTCATGTGTAGGTAAGTGATGTTCGTTTGTTTGTATCTGTTTTTCTCAGGCTGTCGTCTACGAAGGACAAGACAAAACCCCAGATATGCGAAAAGTCCTCCTAACTCACGAAATCATCTGCAGGTGAGTTGTAAAGAACATGTTTTCTTCAGCGTGCTTGTCGCTTGGCAGCAAAGTTTGAGTGTGCATTGTTAAGTTGCTTCTTAAAGCATTCATAACATAAAAATATAATAAACACATTATACTGACTTACAATTTATGCTTATTTCGAATTTATGAACACAGAAGCGCAGTCACAAAATAAAAAAAAACTAATGATTCGGCCTTAGTGGAACATGTGGCAAACTGTTCGCATAACATTGAATGGGATAAGGTTCGAATACTTAAAGAATTAGGCTGAAAAATGAATTAAATATAAGAGAATCTCTTGAAATTATTAAACATTAAATGATTTTAAATAGAGATCTAGGCCCTGGTGCCATAGAAGTGAATTGTAAGAAATTCATTCTGTAGATGGCACTGTATAATATGCAAATTATACACGTGCACTTGCCGCTATAAAAATAAAAATAAATAAATTCCTGGTTTCTTCTGGTGTCTTGAAGATGGTGAAACTTTTTTCGATGAAACATATACAGTTTTTAATTGTATCTTTTACTTTTAACATATGCCATAAGTTATTGTGCATTTTTAAACGTTGAATGTTCTTACTTATTTTATGTATAACTTTGTCTCGTACAGGATACTATTAGAATATCAATACGAAACCCCAAAAGGGAAAAAGGTACATTAAGATTATGAAGAAAAAGTAGAGAAGCAAGTAAAATACATATATGGAAATGTACATAGTAAAGTAAGTCCATATATAATTTTAAACAAATGTGATTATTGGGCGCGGTATGTTTGGATTTCAGTTATCTACTAAGGTTAACATTTGGGTACATGAATTGCCTTATACTTTACTTGTTTCTTGACATCCCAACTGGACCTTTTGTCCGTTATTGTTTTGTATTGATATAATAAAACGCTCTCAGTTATGGCGCTTCTTACCGCCTGTTCTCGATTCACTGTACGAGGAATTAAAAATTGTTTGTTTATTTTTATCGACAAATAGAACTAAATAAACGTGTAAAAAATATAGGGATTATCTTTATATAGAACTTATTTCTCTTCAGAAACTTCCTGTATGCCGTAAACATATTTTCTAATGTGTTGTTGATCTTCCAGACAATAAAATGGTTACCGTTATATTGTGTTGTTGATCTTCCAGACGGTAAAATAGTTACCGTTATATTGTGTTGTTGATCTTCCAGAAAGTAAAACGGTTACCGTCATATTGTGTTGTTGATCTTCCAGACAATAAAATGGTTACCGTCATATTGTGTTGTTGATCTTCCAGACAGTAAAATAGCAACAACACAATATAACGGTAAAGTAAAATGGTTACCGTCATATTGTGTTGTTGATCTTCCAGACAGTAAAATAGTTACCGTTATATTGTGTTGTTGATCTTCCAGACGGTAAAATAGTTACCGTCATATTGTGTTGTTGATCTTCCAGACAATAAAATGGTTACCGTTATATTGTGTTGTTGATCTTCCAGACAATAAAATGGTTACCGTTATATTGTGTTGTTGATCTTCCAGACGGTAAAATAGTTACCGTCATATTGTGTTGTTGATCTTCCAGACAGTAAAATAGTTACTGTTATATTGTGTTGTTGATCTTTCAGACAGTAAAATGTTTACCGTTATATTGTGTTGTTGATCTTCCAGACAATAAAATGGTTACCGTCATATTGTGTTGTTGATCTTCCAGACAATAAAATAGTTACCGTCATATTGTGTTGTTGATCTTCCAGACAATAAAATGGTTACCGTTATATTGTGTTGTTGATCTTCCAGACGGTAAAATAGTTACCGTTATATTGCGTTGTTGATCTTCCAGACAATAAAATGGTTACATATATATATATATATTTATATTGTTTAGTTCGACAGTCATTTTAAATATAATTTCCAATTCCTAACAAAAAACAAAAACGTACTATTATCAATAGTTTGTGTATCATTCGTTGAGAGAACATCACAGCTACGCCTCTAAAACCTAAAGCCATAAATGCTTTACGTGTTATATAATACATGCTACTTTAAAAGCGGAGTAAGTCCCCTTTTTAAGAGCTATAAGGAAATAAATCAATGCTTGAAACTCAGAATATCAACATAATTTCCCCTTTCAATAAGAAATAAGCAGACAGTTAACAACACCAAACCCTTTTGAAAATCGTTTGAACTATATAGAACTTCAATGGTCTCTGGTGTTTATTTTTTAATACTTTCTAATAACAAAAAACTTCACGCTTTCTAAAAGGGTTGAAACATGCTTTATTAATTGTTATCACCTTTCTATAAGCGCTTCACGTAAAGGGCAGAAGGGACACGCCCTTCACTTTTCCAGTTAGTATGCATGCACTATTATCAAAACTAGATTAGGTTGACTTCACTTGTTTTGCCCTCCTCTACACTTTTAAATAAAGTTAAGCAGTTATCTTACCCTCATGTGCTTTATATCACGTATATATGGTCAAATGTACCTTTTATGATGATCTCTGTTAATCTGGAAACAAAAGTAATTACTAAGAATTTCTAATCAAATATGATCACAGTATAAAACTAACTATGCATGAATAAAACAAGTTTCGTATAATAAACTAACTAGAAACACCAAATTTTCTATAGTAACCTAACTAGAAGTACTTAGTGTCATAAATCAATTTGCAAAGCAACCAATCATATATTACGAACAAACTGAAATACTCGTCAACTGACGGGGAATGTCTAAACTTAATGTTTTTAAATGTAAGTTTAACAGCAATCATATGTTTCAAAGTAATAACTTTAACATAAACTTTATGTCAAAATTTTAAAATTATTACAAAACTTATTCATAAACAACATTTGCAGTTTGCTTTCCACCTACTAACAAATAAAGATTTTGAGGTGATTCCACCCTTGAACACCCTACATCTCATTGATCTTGAGAAAAGTATGGGTGTTTGAGAAACAATCCAGCAACTTTCATTCTTTGACCTTGAATGCCTTTAGGATATTCAACATTGTCTAAACTCTAAAGCGTCAACCTGCCAAGATTGTTTAAAATTGACTCAATAGGCTGGGAGTAATTAACCAACAGGCTTTACAAAATAGAAATAAGGTTAAGTTCAGTTTTGACCACCTTAGGACATTCCTCATAGTTCATAGTGTTTACGTACAAATTTTGGTTGAGATTGGTCCAATACGCGCGAAGGAGTTAGGGTGCAAACAAACATATATTATATTAATATATATTGAAAAAGTGGATCGAATCAATATTTGAGTACCCTTAACTATTACGTATAATCCCAATAATATTTCATTTCCTTCGGCCAGATTAGGAGATTTAGATTAGCCCTCGATACATACGTTAAGCCAACAATACAAACTAATCTATTATTGCTACCTTTAGCCTCATTCCTTTGAATTTCCTTGAATATTTTCATTGAATCCATTCCGTTTCAATGTTGATCCGACATGGCCAAGTGGTTAGGGCGCTCGACTAATTCGAATCCCCGTCACACCAAACATGCTCGCTCTTTCAGCCGTGGGGGCGTTCTAATGTGACGTTGGTAGAAAAATAGCCCAAGAGTTGGCGGTAAGTGGTGGTGATTAGTTGCCTTACCACTAGTCTTACACTGTTAAATTAGGGACGGCTAGCGCAGATAGCCTTCGTGTAGCTTTACGCGAAATTCATAACAAACAAACCGTTTCAAATTTACTCTCACAGTCTCCCTCTATATATTACATTTAAAATTAAATCTGTTTAGTCAAAAACACATCTTAAACAAAGAAAAAGTTGAATTAAATCACATTTTAGATTACTGTGTAATGTATTCTGCAAACGTTTTCGCAATATTTGCAAATTATTTTGTTTATTTGTTAGCTATTTTCATAAATCTAAAACACAAATAATTTTGTATAATGTGTTTAAAATGCTTTCTTTGCTTTTGTTTTATATTTATAAAAATATAAACCTGGTACAAAGAAGATTTTTAGCTGTTCTTAGTTACATGCAATTATCGTCTTACAAAACTTTAGTTAATCCCTTTATTCATTTTTAGTTTAAACACTTGTAATTGTGATCAATTATATGGTTATAGTTTAATATCATAACTGTTCGCTTTGGTTTTCTTTCATCTTAATAGTTAATTTCTACAGTTCCTGCATTTCCATTTCAATAGCTTAACTACTTTTTTGACACCATCGTTTCAATGCTGGCATCTCCTTTTGTTTAATGTTTTAGTTGGCCTCATCCTCTTTCGTTTTTTCCTTAATGCCATCATTGGATCCGTTTTAAAGTTTTAGTTGATTTGTTTCCGTAATTTAATTTGTTATTTTTCACTCCTTTGAGTTTTGCTATTTTTTTTCGGTAGTTGGATTAAGATAATGTTAAGCAAAACCTTTTGAAGTTTAGTAGGAAATGAATCTGTTGAATTGTAGGTAATCTTCTACTGTTTGTGCTCTAATAATTCACACCATTAGAAATAAACGAAAAAAATAGATAATAGAATAGTATCAACTTTCGTATTAGTTTTTCTGCAAAGAGATTCAAGCTGGAACACGTTTAGAGAGACATGTATAAATGACATCGAAATTCTGAAAAAAACTGACGAGTTTTGAAATCTATTTACTTAACATGGATGTTTATATATATATATATGTGTGTGTGTGTGTGTGTGTGTGTTATGATGTCGGTATCAGTGATCGTGAATTTTAAAGTTTGCAGCTTAGTGATCAAATCAATGATCACATTATTTTTGAGAATGCAGTTAAAATATATATGATAACTGTTGATCGACAGTTGTGCATAATGCAGTTATAAGATACATTTTAACTAGTGATGGACAGTTGTGCATAACGGAGTTAAATGACACATTTTAAGTAGTGATAGACAGTTGTGCATAACGCAGATAAATGATACATTTTAAGTAGTGATGGACAATTGTGCATAACGCAGTTAAATGATACATTTTAAGTAGTGATGGACAATTGTGCATAACGCAGATAAATGATACATTTTAACTAGCGATCGACAGTTGTGCATAACGCAGATAAATGATACATTTTAACTAGCGATCGACAGTTGTGCATAACGCAGTTAAATGATACACGATAACATGTGATCAACATTTGTATCCTCTGAAGAGCGATTAAAGGGTATACAGAATTAATAACATTAAAACTTGCATGAGACTGAAATCACGATTTATAAAGTGACCGTGTCCAATATTAGTGTTAATATTATAGAGGAGGTTTGTTAAACTGTAATCTAATATTGGAATGGCTACTAAAACATTTCAAAGAACTAAATCTAAAGGCTTAAAAATATAAGAACTGCAACATTTTTCTAAACGCTAAATGTATTGTGTATTGTTTGTAAGTAAGTAAGCACAATGCTACACAATGTGCTGTCTGTACTGTGTCTACAGAAGCGATCGAATCCCTAATTTAATTTGTGTCGTGAAGTATTACTATTTGAATCATAAAGATATAGGTATTAAGTTTATGTATGCAAATAATTGTTTTAATTGTACATGTTCTAGTTCTGTATTTTAATCTAAAAAAAATACGTTTCCTTTTAATAACCAAAACACTTTTAGGTAAAGTGTTATGAAGACTTACAAGTGCGCCTTGTTATTACACAAAAATGTTTACTATTATAAGGTAAACGTTTCTTAAAGAGTAATAAGTTGCTCGCATTATTTATTATGGATTAACTTATATTATTTTCCAAGTTAATTATATATTGTTTGGTGATATTGTATGCTAATCACGGTAAATGCAGCTAACGGTATAACATTATTGACATTGTATTAAATGCTAACGTCTTAAAGTATGCAAAGGTACGAATCTATAATCCTGTAATAAAAGTAATCGGCATTTCTCAGAACTTTATTGTGATTGGCTATTCTTATGTTTGTTGATCGTATAGCCGTTGTTGTGACAAGAAAAGTTGTGGGAACAGGAATGAAACCCCGTCGGATCCAGTGATTATTGACCGGTAAGTCACAAAATATTCTATCCTTCAGTCTTTAATGTTTAATACAATACGAGTCTTATATTTCTCCTAGAAATTATATTTCGGGTCCCGGCATGGCCAGGTGGTTAGGACGCTTGACTAGCAATCTGTGGGTCTCGGGTTCGAATTCTCGTCCCACCAAACATGCTCGTCCTTTCAGCCGAGGGTGGCGTTATATAGTGACGGTCACTCCCACTATTCGCTGGTAAAAAAAGTAACCAAAAGTTGGCAGTGGGTGATGATGAATAGCTGCCTTCCCTCTAGTCGTTTCACTGCTAAATTAGGGATGGCTAGTGCAAATTCAAAACCAAACCTTATTTTTCGACATAGACATTGGAACAGCACTCCCCTCCCTCCATGAATATCGAAAGGCTTACGATTTCTCCAACTTGAATTGAATGTTTGGTCGAAGACTCGCTATAAACAGATTAAGATTTGAAATTAAGTTGGAAATAAAGGATCAAAAAGATTAAGGTTGAAATAAAAGAAGGTCGTGTAAGTTGTCATCGAAATGCTTATTTTCAGGTATTTCAACCAATTTGGTTGTCATTTATCTTAAACCTTAATGATATTCTTCTGTCGTAATAGTTCTGTAACTGTATACCAAATGTTTAAAGTAAAACCTAAGGATGATGTTGACGATGCTTTCTCTAGACATCTCTCAATGCCATCATATTGTATAAATCAGCATTTTCAGTTAAGTTAACTGCATTTATCAAGCTATATTATAATATCCTTTATGTAAAAACAGAAATTATATACTGTGCTATTGAGAGCACAAGTTTAGTTAATAACTAACAAATGACGAAGCTCTTTGAGCTTGATGAAACTACATTAATACCACAATGAAACAATCTTCATGTCACAATCTTGATATATTGAAGTATAAGCTAGTTAATGACGTTTAACAACTCTTTATGAGTTTAGATACATAAAAATATTTGATTTTGATAATTCATTAAAATTTTCAAATTCTCGTTGTTTCCTTTTTCGAGGCTATAAATCATTTATTTTATTAGTGTTATCTTTAATGTTTAAGTGAATATGATTTTTCTCTTGCAGGTTTTGTAAAAACTGCCATTTTGTGTTTTGATATTGACAAATAATGGAATATTTTCAATTTCATGTCTGACTTAGAACTAAATTCTTCGATGAATTTAAGGAAAATTCTTGATTCTCTCATTTAAAAGTTTTGGGGAAGAAAAGTATAAAATAAATGATAATCACTCAGATCTTTCAGTCGTCCATGAAACCTGAACCAGATAGAAATGTTATCACTGTGGATTATAAATGCAAATCCCTGACAATACTTAATAGAGGCCACGCGTCCTCTATAGCTCCTCTGACTGTTCAAAACGGGTTCCCGCGATTTTGGGATAGATTGTTTGGAATATTGTGAGGGTACGCTACTTAGTGTTCTCATGGCCTCTCCTTCAACTGATAGACTTCACAGTGAATGTTGATAGAAACGCGCTGGGAAATTGCGTGAAAGTCACGTGCTTCTTCTAGTTTTTGAATAGTCAGGAAAAGGATATCAGTACATACCATCATCACATTTGTGGTAGGACAATAAGTTCCGGAGACGACACCAGATGGTCCAATTAACAATTCATTTCTGATCGCATTAATGATAAAAAAACTTGAAAACATTTAAGCAGGGAATAATGAAATTATCCATTTAAAGATACTAGATCGCACTCAGTAAGTTTACTAAGTTGCAAATAAAACCAGTTGAATGTACAGTTTAATCGTGAATCGTGCAAATCGTCTTCCTTTATATAACCTTAACTGCGATTTATTCAAAATTCAAGTACATTTCTAGACTTAAGATATATCGTTAGAAGTCCCTTATTGACCACCTTGAACCATTGCATAACTTTCTGTTTACTGCCAATGTTAGTCTGTCGTATATAGTGGGAATAGAGTGGTAATTTTGAATAACTGTCTTCTGATTGGTAGACCTATGAAGGACGAAGCTTTATTACATGGTTTATCTGTTCATCTTTGTCTAAGTTCAAAAGACTTTTGCTTTCGTCTTTTAATCATTTGTAAATGCATTTAAGTGTTTAGTACAGTCCAGTTTGTACCCTTGTCCAGTTGAAGAAGCGACACAAATGTTTATATAGTATTATCCACATATTACTTATAATTTAAGGACAACTAGAGACCTGTTGATCTATCTAGGCTGCATCGTCAACTAAACTAAACTTTAAAATAAATTACTTTAAATTAACTGTATCCACCACATCTGAAGGTAACCTATTCCAAAGGCCAACCACCCTGTTAGAAAAATAGAGCTGTCTTAACTGATGATGACTTCTACCCTGCAAAAATTTAAACTTGTATGCTCTGGTATCACCATCTTCACGATTAAGTACGCAAAAGATGATACATCAACATTATCAATTTCCTTAACAATCTTAAACACATTAATCAGATCCTCTATAACTCTTCCTTTATCAAAAGAAAACAATTTCAGAGTCTTTAACCTGTCCTAGTATGACAACCTTTCCATCCTTGATATCATTCTAGTAGTCCTCCCTCTGAATAATTCCCAACAATTCAATGTCCTTCCTGAGGTAAGGAGCCCATGACTGAATACAATACTCCAAATGCGGCCTAACCAATGACCTATAAAATGAAATTATAACCTCTTTAGACTTGTTTGAAGTATTTCTGTCGACACAACTTAAAATCCTTTTTGTTCTGCTACTAGCAACATCACATTGCTTGGGTTGTTTAAGAGATTTATCAATTAAAACAACAAGATTATTTTCTTATATAGCACTGTTAAGGTTACTCACAATATTATGATCTCCCACATGCATTACTTTGCATTTATTATAATTAAAAGCATCTGCAATTTATTCGCCCAACTCACCAAATGATCCAAATCCTTTTGTAAATTAGCAGCATCCTTCTCACAGCCAGCAACACCAAAAACCTTAATATCATCAGTAAATTTAAATAATTTATTTACCATTTTTTCATCTATGTCACTGATGTAAATCAGAAAAGCAAAGGCCCTAAGACTGAGCCCTGAAGTACCCCACTGGTGATATTAATCCAGTTTGATTGAACTTCATTTGTAAAAAATACTCTGCTTTCTTCCACCTAGCTAGTTTTTTATCCCATGAGCCAACCTATCTCTCATACCTAGAGAAATATTTTTAAACAACTCTTTTATGTGGCACCTTGTCAAAGGCTTTCTGAAAAATCGGATACACCACATCCACACCTGTACCCTCATATGCAAAAATAGCAACCTCTTCAAAGAATGCAAAATATTAGCAAGGCAAAGAAGGTTTCCCCTAGTGAAACTATACTGACTATCCAACAAACCTTTAAACTTTGTTAAATGCCTTTTCAAAACATGTTTTGTAAGACTTTCAAAACTTTTCTCACCACTGACGTAAGACTAATAGTCCTATAATTATTGAGATAATTTTTATCACCTCCCTGGAAAAGACAAGTAACATTAGTCAGCTTCCAATCATCTGGTGCCTGCCTATCCACTATTCATGGATTTACAAAAATTGTAGCAAGTGGCTAACATATTCAATCATTAATCCACTTCAAATCCCCCTGTGGAAATATCAAACCCAGAGATTAATCACTCATTAAATTCACAGTTTTTCTTTAATAAGATCAGAATTAATATGATCATCTTGTTCAACCTTTTTTCATCTAGTTGGGATGAAGAATATTGTTTAAGTCTTCAATAGTAAAAACTGAAGAAAAAGAAGAATTTAATAATTCAGCCACCTCATAATCATCAGATATGAGCCTTCCTGTTTCATCCCTCAAAGGTCCTACTCCAACCCTTACATTTTCTTGTATTTAAAGTTAAAGGAATCCTAAGTATTAATTTTTACATTTTCAACCAACTTTTCTTCATATAGTTTTAGATTCTCTAATTTATTGTTCGACCATCTCTCTTGATCTTCTATAATTCTTCAAATCTTCCATCATAGAAGTCGACTTAAACTTCTTAAATTTATAAGGCTTTTTGTTAATTATATCCTTTATACCCTTTGCGAGCCAATCTGCATTTTTTTTTAAAACTGCAACCACTTTTTTCTATAAGAAACATGCGTATCTTAAATATTTTAAAACTCACCTTTGCCTGCGTCATTGTGTGCAGTTCTTTTTGTTTTGCCTTGCTCTTTAATCTTTCATCATCTTGTCCTTTTTCACAATGTTCAACTCCTTACTTATGTGACTCTATTAATCTTTGCTAATCCCCAGTTACCTGCCAGCTAGATCCCGTATAGGCTCCCGTTCACTGTGACTGTACCTTACCATACATTCAGCTTCGGAACAAAATGAAACGTCAGGGCAAAATAAAATTGTTATAACTGTGTTGAAAGATAAAAGTTTTATAACTTCATAGCAACATAGAACTTCCCTACAACTTAAAACAGTAGTAACTTCAGCACGAGTTAAAATTGCATAAGTTTCAATACAAAGTAAGCTGTTGTTATTTTTAACATAAGGTAAAAGTGTTATAATATCATGTTCATTATGCTGTTTTTTAGGATGAATGGAAACTGATGAGAGTTTTAAGCTCATATGTGTTTGCTCGACTTGGTTTCTCTCTGAAACCTTCAAACGTTTTTGAGATAGTTCTACTTAATCTTATATTAAATATGCACGGTTAAAATTCTCTAAAGGAATGCCCAATAGAAATGCTTGTTTATGCGATTTTGAAATATTAACAGAAATTAATTAAACCTCTGATTATACTTCTTGGGACAAATCAATTCTGTGAATAAAAAGTATGTACGAAAATATCTGCGGCCTACTAACCCAGACGTGGTCGTTTTATCGTCTCGTAAGTTGGGTGACCCTTGTTTCTCGTTCTCCAACTAAGAGCGACCACTAGGCCTAACTGTTAGGCCCCAGCTGGGCCAGCCAGATAACTATTTATCTGAACAGCTGACGATTCCTGTTTCGTTGCAAAGTCCCTACTATGTTGAGTG